TCGCGCGTGCGCAGAACGTTTCTCGGAAAAGGTCCATTGTCTTCCGGGAGAGGGGAGCTAGGGTGTGTTGCTTTGTGGAAAACGTCAAGGTTGCTCAAGGTCGTGGAAAGAGATGAGACCTTTGTTGGCAGGCACCTGTGAGGGTGATCACGGTGGTAGAAAGCCTGTCGGTTGGGTTGTATAATTTTTGTGTCTTTGTTATCTTTTGGCTTTGGAGGTCGAGAAGGTATATAGACCGTTCCATCAAGGGAGGGTAAAAATAGAAAAAAATGCCCTCCCCCTCTCACCCGAATGTCGTCTGCTCCGCCGAGTGGGCAGTACCTAGCATCCAGCTAGCGTACAAACTCTGTTTAAAATCGCGTCATTTTGGAAATTTCAAGTGCAGATGCGCAGATTTTGGTATGCCAGTTATCGTGTATTACTATGCTAGATAAAAAGACTAACAGAGTCCTGTGGCAATACATGCAGTAGTTGAGAGTAGTACTGCCGGCTGACTCAACTGCTATTTAAGTAACGGAAAAAAGATATGTCAGTTGATCATTTACCGAAGTAGAACAACAGAGAGCTCTAGGCTGATTTTGAAGTAGCCATAACTATTCTAAGAACGCGAACCACTTCACAAAGGCAGCCACGAGCGAGGGTTCGATGTTCCGTACAGCCCGCCGATACAGCCCAAAGATGGAGAATGGCGACCTCCCGTTTTGTCGTCTGGTAGCGGAGTCGGGCGCGTGCCCTTTCTCTCGTTTTACCCCTCCGAACCCTGTGAATTTCCCGGATGTATGGAGAGGGCGATGCTGTCGAACAAAATGGTGCCGCCCAGAGAGCGCTAAATGGAATGACCAAATAAACTTGTCTTTAGCTGTGTTAGAGACGTGTAATCGACTGTTCATTTTTCTTCTGCTTTGAAACTTTCCTCTTTTCCTGCCTCAGTCTCGGGCTAAGAACAAAATGGTTAAAAATGCAATCCGTTCACCCTTGTTGGTGTAAGACTGGTGGCAGCTGATAAAACCCGTTTGCTCTACTAACTGAACATTTTTCTTTTTTTTTTTTTTTCTTAATGTCCCGACCTGGATCAGCAGTGGAAAGACCCTTTTGGGAGAATTCTTTGAGGAGTACTATTACCTTACATTATTTTTAAGAGAACTCTCAATTCGGCGGATTTTTGACTATGCATTTGGCAATAAAAATAAACTTTTCATCATACTAAATCCTGTATCGGGTTTACTGTAACGTTTAACGTGCAGCCACCGTTCGTCAATTATGTTGTTCTACACAAAAGTCTGTAATCCAGACGGGTCCCGACTCCCGAGTACGGCACCCGGATAACCAAAGGCATCGTCATCGCCACGAAAGCAGCGCTTTCGTAGCGCCGCCTTCAAAACCCCTAAAAAATGTTTCCTTTTTTTTTTTTTAACACTCTGGTTGGGACACGCGTGACAAAAAATTAATTTTGCGCGAAAAAAAAATTGTTAGAGCGATATTTACGGCGAGAGATTTATTTGAAATTCTGCGCGCAAAGTCCATGACGTCACGGGTCAATTCAAGGTTTATTTAATGAGATGAAGATTTTAGCCCCACAATTTTGGGCCGGCTACTTCAATGCTAGTAATGGGGTAAAGTATGATATGATATATTCAATAATTATGAAATCTGGGCATAATAAGTAACGAAGTAAACTATGAACGTGCTGCGTTAATATCACGCGCAAGTGCACTTTGAGAAGTATGATTTCTAAACAAACACAAAAAAACATGCACAATAGGCTACAGTGCATGATACAAAATATGTGTAATTAAATCCTGCTATACCAGTAACACGTATGCATTGAACTTAATATTTGGCTTCTATCTTTGAGTCCTGCAGAAATGCACTCAGTAAGGCAAATGCAAGCTTTTGTTTCTTCGAGAGAAAATGGGTGATTGTCTTGTATCCCGAGACTAATCCGTAAGCGGATTAATCTCGGTTAATCTGGTGAAGGAAGCTTCCCGTGTATGCTACCCCAAGTCGTAGGCGATGAATAAGGGTGTCGATTGATCTGGCTGAATAGGTGTACACTGGGCGACGGAGGTCCGGATCGATTAGATGGATCAGGCTGTCTTGTGGGATGCTGCTAAGCCACTCATCGTGAGACATTCGCTCACGTAGTCGACGGATGTATCGTTTGGCGTCGCTCTTTGTGAAAGGTGTGAAGTGGACGTTGTTACTTGTATGGGCTCCGGTAGCCAATTGGTCAGCTTGGTGATTTCCTGAAACTCCGGTACACCCGAGACCCACAGTAGACGAACAGTATTGCCAAATTCGATGGCATCAGAGAGTTCTAAGTAAATTCTGGGTACAAGGGAGTTGTGTTTACTACGACTATTCATAGTCTTAATAGATTGCAAACCTGCCTTTGAATCAGTACATATTACCCACGAATTCGCTGCCGGGTTGTTTATTATGTACGTTGCAGCCGCGAGTAAAGAATGTAATTCCGCAGTGGTTGAGGAAGTAGGATGCGATAGTCGAAAGGATGACCAATGGTTAAAAACAGGCACAACAAAGGCGAAGGTCAATCTATCTTCAGTGGTTGATCCATCAGTACACACGTGGATGTCGTCTTTATATTTTTCTTCCAGATGTGTCATTCGGCAATGACCATCTCAGTCGTGAAGGCGAAGCCGATCCACCTCTCCTCCACACGCCCGAAATGCCGAGAGAGAATGCAAGTGGAAAGGAGTTGACTGCCGACTAAATCGTGAAACAACTTTTTCTGCGCGCGTAAGATTTTTTTTACACGTGTTTTTATTTGACTGCAAAAAAAAAAAAACATTTTTCTTTTTTTTTTAGGCGCCCTTTAATTAAGGCTCCCAGGGTCAACCTTGTCCATAAATCCGCTCTGGCTCAGCCCCATCACTTGTGCAGGTGTTTAGATGACAGCTTTCCGGTTCGGTTTGTCCATTTTGTGTTGAAACCTTTCATGGTAAATACTTGAATAATATCCATGTTCACCGGGATTAATCCATATCAGTTAACATTTCTCCAAACTGCAATTCAGTATTTACTAATTGCCTTTTTGCTCTCAAAGGACAGCCAGCCCATGTCCCCAGGAACTGCCTTATTTGGTGTGCTCCCATGCGCTCCCAGTGGTAATCTACCCAAGCTCCTTTGTCGAATTTCATATCTTGGTTGAGCCTCTGATCTCATGCAGAGTACCCCATTGCCAAAAGACAGTTCTGGCATTATCAATATTTTCCGTAAACCCCTGACCGCCTCGTATCTTTTATAGTTCCATTATCCATATGTAGGGCTCCATGTTTTCGGATAAATCCGAAAAAAATCCGAAAAACACTCCCCGGTAAATTTTCTGTTAATTCGTTTTTATCTGAAAAACTCAGAATTTCGAGGACACAGCGACAAAATAAACTCTTATAAAGTGCACAAGGTCAGTGGTCCTGAGGAGATTCCACTTCAGTTTCCTTTTCAAATGTAGAACTACTGACAAAAGGGGTGTGCCTTTTAGCACGTCGAGGTTCCATCGGGACAACGGGTGATGGTACCCAGACCTTATTTATTTATTCATTTATTTACTCATTTATTTATTTGTTTTACGCAATAAAATAAACTCCTAATTTTAAAGAATTAATTGCTAATCTAACATAAATAAACTCCGATGAACCCCGAATCCCCCAAAAAAATTAACTCCAAAAAAAAAAAAAAAAAACCTTCGAAATTTACGAGCAATAATCCCCGAAAACACAGAATCCTATCCATATGCTATGAGTTTCATATTAGCTTAATTTCTTTTTAATTTTCTACTTAGTACATTTTCTTCGTGTTCCTCTATATATATATATTCTTTTTTTTTTCTCTCATTGAGCCATATTCCCAGGAATCTATATTTTTCTACATGGTCTAATCTAATGTCTTGAATCTATAGATCTGACGTTTTCATTGTTGCCAAATTTTCTAAATGCCATATTTCTCTTGTTGGCTTCCATCTCTCTCTCTCTCTTTTTCTTTATTTCACTCTATTTCTCTCTCTCTCTCTCTCTTGTGTCAATGCATTCGCAAGTAAAAGCGTGATGAGACAAACAATATGCACATTCCAATACTTCGCTTCGCGCAGTGCTGTGGATCAGTACAGATAAAAGATAATAAGTGTGTTTGATTTGAGCTTTTCAATGGCGCCTTCGAATTTTACCTCGCATACTCGGGCGCATTAAGAAAAACAGTAATTGCAAAAAGTTATATTTCGTCTATGGACGCACAAAACAAACTTCCTGACCAGCAACACTAATGTAAAGGTGCGAGCTCGATTATCCGTACTTATTGCTTGTTACAGCGTGTTGACTCGAACCAACGAACATAAGCAAGATCCCCGAGCTTCGCAGCGTCGAGATTCCCAGCACTGGCTCGCCCACATACCTTTAAACGCTAACAGAAAGGCTCGAGTACAAAAATACAACAAGCTTATGTTAAGACAAGCTATACGACTCGGGCTTGTGCCAAAGCTTCGCAATGTGGCCATGCAGGTTAGTTTAAAAACTAAAAATGACGCTCTCGGGACCACAAAACATGAGATACGCTTTGTGTATAATCTTTTGTAGACGTGCCGATCGAAAGCGAAACCATGCCACTGTCCCTGGCCAAGTTCCTAGACACGAGTGCAAAGCACGCAGTGTTGCATGCAGGGGTTTATGGAAGTAGTCGACTCTCAGATAGGATATGTATGCTCTGTGGTATGTCATAAAATGTACTTTCCCCGGAAAAAAAAATAAAAGTACAATATTTAAGTCGTGAGACATATTTTGAGCCGAAACCCCGGAGGACACTGTACTCTTAGTTTAGTGCGGAAACTTGACGGTTCTACACTGAAATAGATCTAACAAAATGCATTACCATCTCGTGATTATGCGGACTCTGCCATGGTCAGTATTTTTACTTCGCTTCTGGCCAAGAGTCCCAAGAATACTTACGTCTTGGCAAAGCAAGGCTACACTTCGCATCTCAGGCAGGACGTCGTTGCTCTCGCTCGGGGCGGCAGCCGACGCGGCAGGTGCATCGACGATTACTCCGATCGAGGCGCCTCTATCCACTATTTCTCTTTTCCGTGATACTTGAGGAGGTATGTACACGTGTTTGCTGTTCCGCGTTTGACCAAAGGAAGTAAGCACATTTGTCGCCTAACTTATACCTCAATCCATTTTTTAATTATCCGTACGTTTGTGCCCGGACACTTGTCATTTAAACTCGAAGGAACGCCTTGTGGGAATGCCACAGCCGTCGTTCCCGCTAAGCCTAATCATTCTCACGACATGCCGTCTCCGCTTCTTGCAGTAAATCATGTCGTCGGACCTGCAGTGGATGGTGGTCAAGGACCGATCCTGCTTCTTGGTCAAGAAGCGCATGATCAAAACCTGGTTCAGCACCGTAAGTTGCCTCTGATGTCGCGTACGCATGGTGCGACTGCTCGACACCCTCGATGTAGTGTTCGTTCGTCCCGTCTCGTACACCATGTGAACGCTTTCCTGCGATTTCTTTGTTCTAGGACCCCTTGAACCCGAAGGGCACGCACGCCAAGCGGTACAGCGGCACCGTGCTCAACAAGGCCCTGACGGTGGAACCCCACAGCACCGGAAAGGGTGTCAACCTGGTATACAAGAAGCAGAACCGTGAGTTAGAAACCGCTGATCTGCGAACACACCGATTCCCTGCAATTGTACAGCAAATATCACCTAGGCACCGTTCATTTCTACGCTGATAGCTCTGTAAAAGCCGATACCGACAGGTGTCTGGTTCCATGTTATCACATCCTCTTGCGAATGTGCAAACTCGTTCAGATTGTAAAAGAAAAAATAGATTGGACCAGTTATCAAGGTTTCCTTATTCCTGTTTACCCATCTCTAACAGTACGCAATCTATCGATCACCGTTTTGGTATATAATTTATAAATGTTTTAACTGACAAATTTTTTTTTTTTTTTTTTATGCTATTAAGATGGTGTACAGCATGTACTATCGGGGAAAAATGAAACATGAACAGAAAAGCGCCTGGCTCGTGGTCTTGGGCTGTACCGCCTGGAAGTGAGCCTAGGGGCAAGAGTGTGTGGCCTACTCTGATGTGTATATACACTCTTCGCTTGGCACTTCCCAAGCTTTGGTATTGCATCTCTTAGTACGCTGAAAGCTATCACCGCTATCGTTACTTGCTTGGTATACTCTGTTTCACCTTATGATGTACCGCAGGAAAGGCTACAAGCGCTGCTAGTATACTCTGTTTCACCTTATGATGTACCGCAGGAAAGGCTACAAGCGCGAGCTCCTTGCTCTCGGGCACATCTCGCCGGCACGCACTCTCGTGACTTTAGAGCAGCTGCCAACGCTATGAGCTCGCGCTTCTAGCCTTCGCTGCGGTACAACATAAGGTGAAACATAGTATAGCAGCTAGAGCGTGCGACACGAGGAAGCTCGCCGCTAGTAGCAGCAGCTAGAGCGTGCGCCGGGCGCTGCTACAAGCAACGAGCTTGCTTGCGCCAAGCAAGCAACATTAAGAGGCGATAGCTCCCAGCGCATTAAGAGGCGCAATGCCAAAGCTTAGGAAGTGCCCAGTGAGGGGCGTATACACATCGGAGTAGGCCACACAGCCTCACTGCTATGCTCACTTCCAGGTGGCGCAGCCTGTACCGCGAGCCACGCGCTGCTCTGTTCGTATTTCATTTTTCCTTGATAGTACACCAACGCTTCAACTCCACTTTGGGCGCTCTGCAAAAATTGGTTTCTCAACTCATAGTGCTAAGATTTACTACATAGGTGCGGCGGGGCAACATCAACAAATAAGCTTATATAGCTAAAAAAAAAAAAAACTTTTGGGCTGTTTGCCATGGCATTCGCAGACGACGTCATGACCGAGCTCACCTAATTAAATCTGCCGTCGACAGATGTCGGAGGGTCGAGTGCACCAGCAAAGACGCGCATCAGCATAGTGATAAGTTTCCGAAGACATTTGGCTACGCTTGGCGCCGGTGCGCTCGACGCTTGCGACATCTGTCCGCGGCAGATTCAAGTAGGCGAGCCCGGTCAAGGCATCGTCTGCAAATGCCACAGCAGATAGCCCAAAGCAGGCATTTTCTTTTCTCTCTTTTTGAACAAGTAAGCCCGTCCATTGGTATTTTTACCCCATGCGTGCACCACCTAGCCACACCTCTGTAGTAAATCCAGCACGATACATTGAGAAACCGATTTTTGCAGACTTTCCAAAGTGGGATTAAAGCATTAGCGTACAAGCTGTAGTTGCCGACACTATGAGTTTCACATGGAGTCTTTTTCGTATGCCCAGCCTCCAGCATGTGCTCATTGCCTTCTGCTATGCATTGGCCATGATGCGCGCTGGAGGCTGAAGAGATGCCAGATTGTTAACGAAGGTACAAAGCTTGGGCCGGAGGCGGAACCTTTTGACGAACTTCACTGCTGTTGTTGTACCGTCAGTGACCAAATTATAGTTGATTGCTGAATTTAAAAGCTCTCGGGCATTTGTAATATGGCAACTCCCCGCCTCAGCAGACTGGATTCTTTTTAGTGGCTAAACAACCTATACAGCGAAATAAGCTAAAAAAAACTTGTACGTAGCCTGTCTGGGTAAATTCCTTCACGTCGAGCAAAGGAGAAAATTCCTTCAGGTGATTTTTTTCTTTAGAGGCAGAGTCCTTGTTATTAAGAACCGAATTTCCGGCGTCACCAGGCTTGGTGGCACTGCCGGAAACCCCACTGCCGACTAACAGACAGCAACACTTTTGCTTACCGCACCACGGCAGCTTGCCAGCACTTGCCCTGAGCAGTCAGCCAATAGACCCTTTGCAGAAATCCCAAAAGCCCGCACGTGCCGCGCGACGAATAAGGGGAGTCTTGGGCACGCCCCTCTTCCTGCTACCACGTGGCATACGCAAGCAGGCACAGGTTACCACGGCAACAACTTTTGAGCAGCCGAGTCGGGCAAGTGACGAGCCAACGGCTGCCCCTTTCTCATCCCTCTCCTTTGTACCGGCCGTGTCGTCTGCTGCACCAACGCTTCGTTGAACCTGGTCGAAACCTGCCACGGTTGCAGTGCAAACTAAACGGATTCGGTGATACTTCAATACATGAAGGTAAGTTACGACGAATAACGTATTCAAATAAGTTCCCCTGTTGCAATGCCTTTACGCTGCCACAGATACGGTACGCCGCCAACGACAAAAGGACTCGGCGGATAGGCAGATCTGTTGCAAAACGTACAGCACTACGACGGCAGGGAATTTTGGGAAGCGTCAGTACAGATCATGCTCTTTCTCGTTGCGCCTATGCTCCTGTGCACGCTTCCCAGCAGCTACCGCCAGCAACCGTTGCAGCCATCCGCCATCTCGCCCATCCGCCGAGTTGTACGGCGTTTGCGGCGTACCGGATCTGTGGCAGCGTAAAGGCATCTCAACAGGTGGACTTATTTGCATATGTTATTCGTCATAACTTACCTTCACGTATTGAAGTGTCACCGAATCCGTTTAGTTTGCAGCGTAACCGTGGCAGGTTTCGACCAGGCTCTACAAAGCGTTGATGCAGCAGACGACAGCCGGTACAAAGGAGAGGGATAAGAAAGGGGCAGCCATTGGCTCGTCGCTCGCCCGACTCGGCTGCTCAAAAGTTGTTGCCGTGGTAACCTGCGCCTGCTCGCATATGGCACGTGGTCATTTAGTAGTGGGAGGAGGGGCATACCGAGGACTCCCATTATTCGGCGCGCGCGGTTTTTGGGGTTTTTGCAAAGGGTCTATTGGAGCTCGGCATGTAGGCTCGATGGAACCGCCATTTACAAAACCAATTCTCCCTGGGCTTGGCTGGTGTTGCAGCGGTGCTAAACAGCCAGTCGGGTCCAGTTTTCAGCCAAAGTTATAAACAGAATATTCAGCGACACAAAATTTGGTTTGGTCACGTCCCAGTTGCGTGCGCTGCTTTAACCTTGTGCATGTCCCTCCAGGTCGCAAGAAGCCAATCAAGAGCCTGGACAGGGTCCCCCTGAGGAAGGGTGCTCGTCGCACCATGTCCTCCATCAAGAAGTGGGTGAAGGGCCACAGGAACTACCGGCGGGACCTCCAGATGGTGAGAGCCACGCTCGGATCTAGCCACCTCCCATAGCCCGACGGCGCAGTGTGCTTGTCTGGGGTTTACAAGAGGGCCCTAACTATGTTCCTCAGTTTTCTGGCCTATTTTATTTACTCTGGAACTGCTGCGGGCTTTACTTTTGGTGGAGAATATTTCAGAATTATTTCGCTGGTACAAATTTTTGCGGTGGGAGTTGTAATACACATACTTGCCTTTGACTACGACCGATGGAGACAAGACTGTTTTTTAAGCCTTTTGCGACAACTTGCGACCTGCTGCGGAGCCGGTCGTAAGCGGTCACTAATATTGGCGAGATTTGTTACTATACAACAAACCTCAATTGGGAAAATTTGCATCCTCGGGGAAATTAACCCTTTGACGGTTGTTGCCGTACATGTACAGCGGTGATTACACATTTGAAAGTGCCTGCCTAAACAAAAACCTGTGCAAGGTGTAGCTATTTGTTTTGTCTTTGGCAGACTATATATGTTTACTAGAATGGCGTTTTGCTGTTCTGGACTATTTATAGTTTTGAAATGCGATACGTGCAAAATGGTCGCTTCGCATGTTGGTTTCTCTGGCGGTGCTGGCAGCGCTGGCTCGTTCAATTCGGGCTTTTAATGCTTCTCGGATTGGAATTTAGAGGACGAGTGTTTAGCATTTGACAGAGAAGCTCTGTAAAGTACTATACCCCCAATTCGGAATCTGAAATTGCCAGAATGGCACGAAAGCGGACGGGTTAGAATCAAACCAAATGGAAGAAAGTTGACAACTTTTTGCCTTTAATATTTTCATTTGATTGTCTAAACCTGAGTAGGTTACAAGCACTGTATGTGCTACTGCTAGATAGGAATACACCTACGCATTCACCCTTCCTTATGCAATTTTTTCGGGAGTGAAACCCAACCACTGGGAAACATCTTTGGGAAAAATAGCTTGACCGTCAAAGGTTTGCTTACAGTACTCAGTGACTACTGCAGCAGTGTATCACTAGATCCTAAGCTCGGAAGGAATGTGGCATGTTTAGGGCTTTTGTCGGTACTTGTAAGATTAGCTCATAACTGATAGAGTGAATGAACGCACAGGAAAGTTTTGCTGGAGCTGTCTTGGTGCCCTCTGTGCTGCAGAATAGGATGTGTGTGATGACTTCTTTGAACTCCAAGATGGAGTAATCACTTCATCGGGTGCAAACTTCAAAGCTATCTAGTCTGCATCTGTTAGCAGTTTTCTTTTCTTTTTTTTTTTTTTTTGCTTTACTTACCTTTTGTTCTTGTTTGTTCCAGCTCTGCCTGCGTCGTGCCAGTGCCATCCTCAGGAGCCAGAAGGCCATTGTTCCCAAGAAAAAGAACACCCGCACTAGCAAGAAAGCCGACTGAAGAGGAAGAACCAATAAAACTGCTTTAAAGCTTAGATTTATTGCATCGAAAATTTCCTCCAGCTCAAACAACAAGCGAAACACAAGTCTGCAAGAAAACGCTCCAAACAGACAAATTGGCAACACACACAGCTGAAATCCAGAATCTGAAAAAGGGAAAAAATATCTATTTGTACAAGTGTAGCATAGAGTAAAATTCACCATGAATGACCCCTTCACTACACGTGACTTGGTCACGAAAGACCTACGCCTCAGACATATGTAGGACGCTGATGCAGAACGAGCTATCGGAAGGGGAATAAATAATATGCCTGTGATTTTCTTTTCTTGACTATATATATATATATATATATCCATCTTGAACAAAAAAGGGGTTTGCCTCAACACTGGGAGATATTCCTATGTGATGTATGACGACACAGAGTAGTAGTAGCAATGGACAACTTTCCAAGTTCGTTGGTGTCCAGCAAATTTTGACCGAAAGACAAACTCCAGACGCTACGCCCAGTGCTGCTAACCAAAGCATGTGGGCTAGCATACTCTGAAAACCGTCCACTACACACAACTGGTTGAATGGGAGTGGAAAGGGACCCATGTATTCAAGCTCTTAATAATAACAATAGCTGGGTGTGCGTATATAGCACTATTTGGCTTCTCTTGAGGAATGACTGGTGCTCTGCGCTAGCAACTTGGTGAGCGCGAGCCTTCTGCTAATGAACACGATACACACTGCTGCCCTGGTGAGGGGAGAGGGCAAGCTTCCTTTTCGCTGTTTTTTTTTTCTTCTGATTCGTGTAGAGGAATGTGCCTTGGCTGTTGTCTTGTCTTCTCAGTTGCTCAGGTCTCTCAGGTCGCTGAGAAAGCCCTCCGGAGTCAGGATATGGTCGGAGCCTGTTGCAGATGAAACATTGATGCTGATTTTCTTTTCGTGCAAATGATTGCATGGTCTATGTGGCATGTGAACACTCAATTTAAAAAAAGCTGAGTGACTGAAATGGGATAGCTCAATTTTGAGCATTTAAAACAGCACTATGGACCTTGAAGATGTTAAAAACATCTCGGCTAGACTGCTGATATAGTTTATTTAAAAATTTTTTGAGGAAGATAAAATGAACCTATTTCCCCAATCAGTTGCTCAAAACTGACATTTTCTGAACGTTCAGACCCAAATAGTGCACCAAGGTCGTCCTGATAAAACTTATGTGGAACAGCTCATTACTAGATAGTTCAGCTTCTTGCCCACCAGAAAAAAACTTTTACATAATATGAGCTCTGGCATCGCACAAAAGAACAATCTCAACTGAGTATTAAAAAATAAAAGCTATCCATATTAACCCTTTGATGGCCATCTTTTTGCCCAAACGATGCTTCCCAGTGGTTGGGTTTTGCTTACAAAGGAATAGTTTAAAGAAAAGGTCAATGCACAATGCACAGGTTACTTATCTATCTAGCGGAAACATGTAGAGGGCTTGCAGGCTGTTCAGGTTTAGGTGCATCAAATGTAAATTGGAGGCGAAAAGTTGCCGCCCTTCTTCCATTTTGTTTTATTTTGGAGCTTCCGCTTTCCGAACACTTCAGCAGTTTCAGAAACCAGAGCTTCTCTATCGGATGGTAAGCTCTCGTCCTCTGAATTCAACTCTGAGAAGCGTAGAAGCATGAAGCGGAAGAGCCGTTGCTCCAATTGCCCCTACCACCGGAGCAGTCAACGTTCGAATCGACCATCTCGCACCTGTCGCGTGCGCAGAGCATCTAATTTCAGAACCAGAAATAGCCCAAACAAAGTGGTACACCGTGCAAATATAACAATGTTTATAACCCCCGAAAGCGTGCCAAATACCGACACCTCCCACGATGCGCGTCGTTTTGCAATTAGGCGGGCACTTTCAAATGTGTGATTGCTGCCATACATGTATAACGACGACCGTCAAAGGGTTATTCACTTGGATTTTTCAGATTCTGAGCTTATACCTAGGTAGCTTGGCTTCACTGCAGAAATTTCAGAGAGGGCTCTCTTGATCAAGAAATTTCTTCTACAAAAATAATTTGGCAAGAAGTTGTTTAGAAGCTGCCGTAAAATACCCCGGAAGCACCCATCTTTGTTCAAGCGCCCACTATTAACATTTCACAAGCTTGGGAATTCTGAAAATTATACGTTAGGTGACCGATTTTACTGGAAAAGCACTCGTGCCTAGATTAACCCAGTTTTCAGTGAAAGAGGGGTGGGCGGGCACTCCTCCAGTATTTTACAGTAGGAAACAACAATAATTTGTTTAAAGAGATTAGCGATGGTTGGTGTTACTGTCTGGGACGTTAGGCCTAGAATGACCCAATTGTGTCTTCTGTATTTTCTTCCACATCAATCTTTCGCTTTCGTAATTAAGTCACCAACGTGCTCCAAAAAAAAGTACCGTAGAGTGCCACGCATCCGCCCATACCACATTAAGTGCCCATTACCAAATTTGTAAGATCTGAGAAAATACGCACAGTAAACTTGATGACCGGACAAATGCCCATCTCCCATTTTTTTTAGATTATCTTCAAAGTTTGAGTGAGCGCTTGCCTGGTATTTTATGGTAGCACCTCGCCCGTCAAAGCGAGGCTGTACTATCGTCACATTGCAAAGTAGGTTAAGCAAATTCTTATTGCTGATCTTAGAAAACCTGGGCACGGCCTTTCACATGTATGACCTTACAAATCCAGTCCACACAATACCGTGTCTTCGAGCATTCTTATTTGGCCCCATTTCAGAATAGCCCATTAGACTGGATACAAGCATCTCACCGATGATGACCTCCCAGTTCTTGGCATCTTTGGTGACCTCGTAAGCACACCGCATCTCAGAATAGGTGATGCCACCAATGACAAACACCATCAGGCGAGGCACGTTCTTCACGTTTGGCGTGTTCTTGTCCTTGTGCCAGTGCCCATAGCGTTGGCTGAAATAGTTGATGAGAGAACAGTTATACACTATGGCACATTTGACAGATCCTGTGCCACTAGCAAGCACAACTTTGTTCCACATTATCAGTTGGGGAAAGTGGCGAGACGCCATTCCTACACACCGGCTTGACCGTTGTTGCCCCCGCTACGAGTGCCAGAAGACGAATGCCACTGCTTTGATTTAAACATATTTCACCAATAAAACGAGCAGTAAATTAATATATAGCTTTTAATAATGAGTGAAGTTAGCCTAGTTGCTGATTTCTTCCCAGTGATTAACGACACAACCAGCTGCTGTCATTGAATGTTGATAATAGAAGCGCTTTAAAAAAAAAAAATCAGTCTACAGTAATTGGATTTTATTTGCTTGTTATTGAAGTCACTCGCAAAGTCAACATAACATGAAAACAGTCTCCACATGATGTATGCATGTATGCGTCCTGCCATTCTCCTGGCCAGGGGGTTGCGCGAGAAGACTGGCCTGGCCAGGTTTACCTGGTTGGAGCTGAACGGCCATAACCTGTGGGGACGACTCTGCCCCCGCTCAGGAAGGGAAAGTGCTTCACATCCAATTTGTCTTCAATGGCATCCTACACAGAGGAAGGTTCTGCTCAACAGGGGTTGCTCACACAACACAGATGTTAGGAAACATGCAAGCAGTCCTTCTGACTTCAAAGGATGTCTAGGATAGCACGTGCACATCAATGCTTGCTGATCAAGTGAAAGAAAAAAGCGCTGAGTAACTTTTACATGTGGTTCTGGTACAAAGCCACGTCTGAGGCTAGCAGAAGACTCCTAGAACTTTATATAAACTTTACTCTCAATAAGCTTGAATGGATTAGTGTAATTTATTGCCCTTTCTTATTTGTCAGCAATGGTGCGTGTCTCTGCCTAATTATGTGAGCCATTCTTTCACCTCAAGGCCTTTTCTCGCAAACAAGTGTGCCATTGTTTTTTCGCAATGCAGAGTGCAAGTTTGCAAGTTTGTCTGCTTCTTGCACAGGGGTTGCGATGATGTCAGAATGCCAAGCTTTTATAGGTGTATTTAAAAGAAAAAGTGGGTAGACCTCAAGGCATCTAGCATTGAGGTTTACTCCCTATCCTTGCAATCAAAGCCAATCAGAGCTCGTTGTCGTTCTGATGTCACCACAACTCCTGCACGAGAAGCAGAGGACTTGCTCCCCACACCGCCTTTCCCGGCCAACACAAATTTTGACTTGCTGCCATATCCCGCCATTTTAGAAACGATTATAGGTCTCCTGTGATGCAGCTAATGTCCCGTTGCCTTCACCGTACACCATTTGAAGAGTCCAGGGCAACTTTTCCCGAAATCTCGCAACACCAGAAAGAGCTTGCAAACGAACGGGCGCAGCTGGAAAACATCACTTCCGTCGGCCAAAAAGAGGCCATTGGAAGTTGCAGCCCCCGTTGCAGCATGAGACCACAAGGGCCAACTCACTTCCATGATGTCCTTCATGACCGGAGTCCAGCGGGACATCTGATAAGTCTGTTCGGTAATGCGTTCCTTGCGGGTCACGTGGTACACCTTCTTTCGGCTTCCCTACAACAGCAATAACCGGTCCCGAAATTAGGGCAGCCCACGGCACGCTGCACGAGCCTCCAAAACGTGTGCACCCGAAGACATGCTATTTAAGAATCCCAAAAGGTTCATGCCGGTCCTACTTCCAGCTGTGCGCAAGACCCCCAGACAGTGCATCTTCTCCACCCTCATTGAAAGTGTAACCGCCACAATCTCTAATTAATGAATTTGCCATCTTCTAGGTCAACAGCTTAGCCCTAACGCCATCATCTTGGCAAACAATGTTTTGCTGACTGGCATCTCGGAGCCTACTGTCTAGCAGATAAGCGTTTTTGATTCTAACATCAGTTAAGCTCGACAGGTTTTAAGCTACTACTGCTAACATTAGTAAACAACAGAAGTGCTTGCTTCACTCGTATGTATTTCTTGAGGCTTCCAGCACAAAGGCTACAGATAGATGTCTGGCAGTTTAGGCAGTGTTCGCTCGCACAAATCGAAAAGGCCCGAGCATTAGCATAAACAAATGCTGTCCCACGCATATAATGCAGGTCCTCATCGTGGCTGAGTACCTCTTTTTTGTCGAGTCTTTTCAACGGCAGCATATAAACGCCATCTATTTTACGGATTCCGTCGCCCACTAAAACGCTTCTCCATAATGTTGCGTCGTGAACAAACTTCCTTTCAGCAAAACACTGTTCAATTGAGTTCATTGTATGTGGATTTTTTCGTAGTGATGGCACTAGGCAATGCTAAAGCAGTAATTATTTTACCATGAACAATGAGCCAAAGCAAGAACAGAAAGATTGTGGCAAGTTACGGGCCAGAAAGCATTCTAGTTCTCTGAGGAGCATGCAAGCAAAGCCACTACTTTTTGTCACGTCAACAATAAAGTAGGGAGAAAAATGCCTTATCCTTAAAAATTAGACGAAGTGTCTCCATCTTACTGAACAACGAGTTAAAAACTGTTTGTACTATATTTATGGGATCATTAGAGAGCCCTAAAGGTTTGTCATGTGCAATGCACATTATGACTCAAAGTAGCCCACCGATAATCCCGTTTGAAGTTTAGATTCCCAAGGTTTATGCACATCTTTTCTTAACCTAATTTTTCTGTAACCATATATTTCCTCCTGAAAGCATTTTGTAGCTAAAGGAATAAAAAAAAAAAGAAATCCAAAATTTCATCATAGCCAAGATACAGCGAGACTTTTCCCATTCGTAGTGCCCACAAATTATTATTCTATATGGGAAAAGAAACATCGGTGAAAGTATTCAATTAAAGAAATAGAAACTAACGCACACCCAATAAGAAAAAAACACCAATGATTGAGCAAGAAAGGTGCTTGGGAAAATCCAGGAGACCTAGCAAGTACTACAGAGTACCAAGCAACCCACAGGTCATACTTTGTGCTCTCTTGGTCTTTTAGCCTCACTCATCTCCCAAAAAATTGTATACATCGGCAATAACATATGCCATCTACGTCCACAAAAAGGCGAAAGCAAAACTTTGGTAGACTTTCTTCAGTCCTGTAGTCGATTGCAATCAGACTTAACTGGAATGCTGGACTACTCAGCTACGTCAAATAAACTAACTTGTTCAGCCCAAAGGCTCCAAAACTGTGGTACAACATGCAGGGGCAAATCCTGACAGAGATGAAAACACACTACCAAGCAAGAGTTAACTTCAGACATCTCGTCGTTTAGTGGGGCAGTCCTCTCAAAGGGAGATTCATCGAAAGGTGCCAAAAAGAATAGTCCGAAAAGCTTTCTTTTGTTTCATCTTCAACCTTTACATACTGACACACGTAAAAAGAAAAAAGGCAAAAATGGGTGGAAGAGCAAGCCTGCATTCCAGCAAAGTCTAATCACAACTGTACCGCAACTTTTCTGGCAAAAGAAACCACCAACGGGTCACAAAATGCCTCTACTCGGCACAAGTCAAATATACCCAGGTTCCCCGGGACGAACACACTACCAAACACGTCACCACACCTCTACTAAGCAGGCAGCGAACCACCAGACAGTGCATCTCACGGGTAAATGCACAACCGAACCGGAGAGGCACGTCGCTCGGAAAAGATGACACGCCATTCACAAACAACCAGCACTGTGACACTCAGGACTGAGGAGACACTTTTCTTTTTCTTTTTTTTGCTGCAGCCACCGCATGTTTCAGGGGCTCGACATATTGTTTAGAAGACACAACAAAAGCGTCATCACTATAGGAGGGTGGTCGCGTGTCAACAAACAGGATCCTAATAGAATCCAGAATCCTAAGGGGAGTTGAGTTTTGAATAGCACAGCAGCATCATTCCTAACCCCTGCTGTGCAACAGTAATGCATTACATAAGTTGAATCGTAATGGCATGAAACTTTGTCACTATAAAGAAATGTGCTGATTTGGCTATATACAGCGTGGGTGAAATGTATTGAATGCACTTTAACCTGACCGCATAAATCGGTTTCATAACTCATCGCGCTCGGATTTACTACAGAAGTGCCTGAAGTTGGTGGAAGCTTTTGCTAAAATTGTGAAAAGATTGGCCCACCTGAGTAAATCAAGAAAAATCAAAAACTATGTTTACCCTATACTTTTCATGTACACTAAAAAATTATCTGTTACTGTGGCACTTATTTGAGTCAAATGAAGTAAAGAATAAGTAAGCCAATTCTATTCTCTTTACATTTCACAAATTTTTCAATTGAAGTAAATACCAGAATAGCCCACAACGATTTTCTGATGATCTTGACATAAAAGGCTTAGCGATAATTTTTCCATAGACAAGAGCAGTTTTTATTTTCTTTCTTTTGTCTCCTGAGGTTTCATGCATTCATGTACTCTCAATCAATGAATGCACCAGCTTCGAGCACCTCTGTAGTAAATCCCAGCACGATAAGTTAAGAAACCGATTTATGCGGTCAGTTTAAGTGCATTCTATTCCTTTCACCCGCACTGTAGTTACTGAGGTGGCATAGTGCAGAAACAAAGGCTTCTGCACATGCTGGATTGCAACATACAGGGTCACGCGAGCTAGAGAGCGGTCCCACTTTCCTACACCCTAGGAACATTCGATGGCTGCAGCTTTGCCCAGCGAAGCTAAGCGACAGTTTGCACCACAGGGTTGACAGCACAGGTATGGGGGCAGATCAGCAGTCCTACGTTTGTGTGTGTGTTCTTCCACTTTGGTTGCTGCACTACCCAGTGACGAAGAGGACGAAGCAGAAAGAAGGGAGACCGAGAAGTGTTCCAGTTAAACAGCAAGTGAGAGGCACTCGCAAGCATGACAGCAAGCGGAAAATAAAATGAGGTCGGACATACTAGACCCAGAACTTCATTGGTAAACTGTTGCGACAACAGTAGCGGGGTGTGCGAGTTGAACGGCGGCAGTTTCTCAATGTCTCGTTGCTGCAAACGAAAAAGACTTTCGCACATGTGGTCAGCTCATCAATGGCGTACCTCCCACCGCTAGCAGTACCGCTGCCGATAGGCTTGCCTAGCTCCCCCTTAAGCTACACAGAGATGTTATGCGGCATCCCGACAGAGGAAGAACACTGTTAAGCGACGCGTGCAAACAAAGAAAACGGCACAATGTCTGAAACGTGAACACGGGTCGGTAAAATATGCATTCAAACGAGGCTCGCTGCAAGACACTGGGGGCCGAATTTCTGCTAAGCTTCAACTTCAGGGTTACATTCTCACGCACATTAGACTAGAACTGTTAGTGAGTTTCATCCAGGATCGAACAAACTGAACTCAGAATAGGTGCCACCAAAAGTTACTTTCGACACTCGTCCATTAAAACAGATCTACACTGCTGTGCTGCGTGTTAGCCGAATAAACTAATCAGCCTGAATTTTGTACTCACTTATCTAATTGTTCCCACAACTTTAAGGCAAAGCACTGCTCTTACAAGTACTAAAAAAAAATCATTTTTTAAATTGTTCTTGAAGATTAACAGGCCCTTATTATCTTGTCCTGGAGTATTTTCTTGAAATAAGTCTCTTTCATTGTTAAATAGTGACTTGAATACATAGTAAAATAAGTATGTGCATGTTTTTTGCTATTATTTCAGAACTAACAATTTACACACTTTGCAATTTTATGGAAACCATATCTCCACTTGCACACATCCAATGTTCATCATTTTTCCTTTCCCCTGGCAAGTGCATGTATGAGGTAATAAGGTGTACAAAAATGTTAAATATGGCATCAGGCATTTTTATATGCCTTTTAAAGTTTCTGCAATAAGCCATTTTGAAAATGGAAAAGTCAAGTGTCATAAAAAAAAAACTATAAATCATTTTAGACCTTTCATTTTTACCTCATGGGATTCCACAGACCCTTCAGTTTACTGGGATCTGATTATTTTCTGATTTCAGTATTTCAATTTGATTTAATCCTTCTAATAATCTTTGCAAATGAAACTTTCAGTGTGAGCAAAACTAATCCGGCTACACCAAAATTAAGTATGGGGTGTTTCCACGTCAAATAATACAATGACTGTCTACGTCAAATTTTTGATATTCCTGTAATAAATATATGTGAAAGCCGCATGTTCTTGGGAGGAACATGCGGCTATGAGTGAAGGCTGCAGTTAAATTTTTCCCAGATATAAAAAAAATTGAGAAGCTCGAGGTGTAGACATTGCCGAGATTTCACTATGGTAATTTAAACAGCCGCTTATGTCACACCCAAGCAGGCACATAGCTATTTCTTTTTTCGTTATTTTAAAGACAATTTACAACATGCATACAAAATATTAAAAATTACAATTATAAATTTCTATGCAAGACAAATTACAAAAAAAAACACACAAAAAAAACATGTTTTAGAGACACATTCATAAGTTATTTACCAACAAACAACTTTATTCAAAATGTCGCAAAATATATCAAAATATGCGCCCTGAAATGCAGCTTACAAATATATAAAAACTATCTGATTAGCCATTATTGTAGTTTTATAATTAATGCAGAAACTTATGTCATTTCTCTAAAAGTAGCAAAATTGCACATCAAGATTTAAAAAGCTTCATCTTTTATTTCATTAAAGCTCTCCTTAACTCCTTGTGGTATCTTGAACTAACTTGTGATGGCAAAATATTGAGTAGCATAAGAACTCCAATTGAAAAAAAAAATAGAAAAGCGACAACAAACCTGCACTTAAATTGAGCTAGCTAACAAAGACAAGCTAGCTCAATTCAAGTGAAGGTTTGTTGTCGCTTTTCTCAATTGCAGGTTATGTGCTACTCTATATTTTGTCATCACAAGTTTGTTCGGGTTACTACAAAGAGATAAGGAGAGTTTAAAGGAAATAAAAGATGGAGATCTTTAAATATTGACGTGCAAGTTTGCTACTTTTAGAGAAATTACTTAAGTTTCTGAATTAATAGCAGAACTACAGTATACAAAACAAAGCAGCAAATATTTTTTCATATATTTGTAATCTGCATTTCAAGATGCACATTTTGTTGGTAAATAATTTGTGAAGGTGTCTCTACGACGTGTTCTTTTTACGTGTTTCATAAGCTATTCTGCATAGTAATATATAATTGTAATTTTTAATATCTGGTGTACATGTTGTAAATTGTCCATTAAATAAATTTCAAAAAATTTAACTATGTGCCTGCTTTGGTACGACATTGGCGGCTGTGCAAAATTACCATAGAGAAATCTTGGCAATGCCCACGCCTCGAGCTTCTCAATTTTATATCTCTGGAAAAAAATTAGCTACAGCAATCACAAATAGCCAAATATTCCTCCAGCGAACATGGCTTTCACATATATTTATTAAAGAAATGCAAAATATATGACCCGGACAGTCATTGTATGATATGACATGGAAACACCCTATAGATATTTGTAGTCGGATTGTAAGGCAAATCAGCTATGTATGTAAATCTCATTTGAATTGGATCACAAGCTATATAAAAAGGCTCTAGAAACAGTGTCGCCCATCAAGAAACTAAGCCTTACCTAGTACCAAAAGGTAAAGTTCTGACCTAAAAATAAGGGTTAAATAATCTACCTATGTTGCTTTTTAGCCTACAAATTGTTGACTTCCCACTCTCATTCAAATTAATATTTCTAAAATTTGGTTGGCTCGTTTGAAAGCTGTGCAATTTGGAAACTTTAAGAAAAGAAAAGACTATTATTATAGTGACATTAGTTTCACAACAAACAGAATAGCTGACGACACCTGGTGGGTGCCATTGCAACAAAGAATGATTCCGAGTTTGGAAGCCATTATAATTTCTCCGCGAAGGCACAAAATTAACAGTTTAGGATACAAGGCGTGGAACAGTAGAGCACGGTAACATATTCTCGATCATTACTTCTAAAGAGAGTGTGAAGCTCAAAAGCTGTTAACACCAAAAACAAGTGGCACGGTGCAATCTCAGCACGCTCACAGTGAAGATGCAAATTGAAAAGGTTTAAAGTAACGGCCTAGGGCTTTCACATATAGTACAACAAACTGATCAACTGAAAAGCCTTGCCAGCCCAATTTCATACAGAGCCAACCCAGGAAGGAATAGCAGGACAAGTATGCACAGATTAACGAGCAATGAAGCATGTTACACGAGCAATACACCAGTAGGAGGTTATAAGTGAAGGACTTACATCCGTCACAATGTTCACTCCAAGGTGAGCCATGTTGGTGATGATGCATTTTTCAGTAGCTGGTATCTGGGCATGCTGAATCAACTTGGTCAGATTTTCCTCGGAGATACCTGTAAGCAAAGCGATCACAAGACTAAGAAACAGTAAACTTTAACTCTGATGTATACTCCTTTGTTGTGCAAAATGCATCTGTTATACAGCATTAGCACCTTGGGCAATTATTCACGAAAGGTATCAAATGGTCAGTTGCAGAGAAAAAGCAAAATATTCTAAAACAGAAAGCTAAGAAGAATGTGAAGCCATAATGAAAGTTGACTGCCATGTCAGCTAACCATCTGCTTGTAGAACAAGATGCTGTACTGAACGGTGCTTGGCTTGGCTTTGGACACAAGGACCCGAGAAGTCATGTGGCAACCTACAAAACAAACTCCAGAGGTAAGCCTTATAATCCTCAAAGACGATGTACATTCCTTTGATCCCGAAGAAAAATATTTCCCTTGGCATTCTTGGTCGTTTGCAGAAACTCAATTGAGCATACAATTCTAACTACAAGTTGGACAAATTGGCTGCTGACAGCGCTTGAATAGCAACACTGACCTTTGCAACGCAAGAAGACGCAGGCAGTGCTTAAGCTGGGACATTAAAGCCTTGTCAAACCCTAAACGATCGAGCATGATTGGGTCTCGGTTGTACCAGCCTTCATGCTCACCATTCTTAGACAAGATGTAGAGCAGAATGATGCGGATCTTGTCGAAGTTTGATACCGTCGTGTCGAGCAGAATGGGCACAATGTTCCGCATCGGGTCCTTGATCTTCTCTCCCTCAGCGTCCGTGCCCATGGCCAAGTCCTGGTGCAAACAGAATCCAACGACAAAAAGTTGGGAAAGGGTGGAAAACTTCCAAATCGCCACTACCAAAGAGGTAATCTAGAAAATCACAAAAAACTAGTGAAAACACTATCTCCTGCTATACTCTTTTCACCCTTGAGCCAAGAACGCAGCCAACGTCACAAGTACGAGAGCTCGAGGTCGCTGCTTTGAAACATTATTTCACAGAACACACACATGTGCCAGAGATGCACGTCTCAAAGCCAGGAGTGCGGGCTAGCTCACGCTTGTAGCTTTGGCTAGAGTCTTAGATTAAGGTGAACAGAGTATAGCTGCGCACCTGTCTACAGTTCAAACAGATGAGAAAGAAGATGTCAATGCATAAACGCGGTGACACAAGTCATCTTCCATTTTTGTGCCGTCGTACACTCAAGCAACCCCAAAAATTAGCATTCCCAATGTGCGCGAAATCAAGCAGAATGGCAAACATTCAACCTTGATTGGTGATAACCTCACAAGTGCTCCAGGTGCCTTCATTACTTAAACTAAATGATACGCCACTTATCAGGGCTAGGCTGCCTCAATATCTTTCTGTTTAGGGTGATGCCATTTTTTGTAGTACCCAATGCCGACAGCATGCGCTCTCAGGAAAAATACAAAGAAATAGCCGGTAACAAAATGCCACTGTAGCACTATCAAGGCCAAGAGCTCGTGCCGGGAGATGTGCTTTCACGCACTCCAGAACAAAAAAGAAACAAAAGCATTGGCAACAAAATGGTCAGATGTCATCACTCTAAACCCACACGAAGGCACCCTAATCAGTGCACGACGCAATTAGCTTGAACATCCAATCTCCAAGTTTTTTCCAGTTTTCTTTTCTCACATGACTAAAGGATGACATTAAAACTACCAGCAGCGTGGTGGAATGCACTCGTGCACACCACCAACTTGGGCAGTAGAGTTTTGCGAACTAAGTTGCGTAAATAAATTGTGACGGGGCAAGGAGTGTGCATCCATGAATAAAATGTGTGCAAGGAGACAGACAAACATTTAGCTGCCGTAGTGCAAGCCAAGCCCCGAAGCAGTTCGGTACAAAATGAAGGTTTTAAATCTCAATCTTTGATTCCTGTTGGAAACACATATGTAAGCACAATTCCTGGAACTCCATGCGAGTCTCGGACCGCAATTGAGCACTCACTCAGACTGTCCTGCAGCGCAGTCATGCACCATTTATCCAATGCTAAGCCAAACCTATACATAACCATGCACTCTTGGTCAGATACAGATGCAATAACTGCTCTTTTAGTGCAACTCCCTATCTAACTTGTCACCTAAACAATCGAAACGGGAGCCACAAATGTTTGTGTAATCGAAATAAAGCTGTAGGCCACAACAGGCTAAATCTTGGCAAAATGCACACCACAGATTTGCAGCTCTTCCAGCCTAAAGGCCCAATCACACCGGCGTTCAACTAATGTTTCCTCACAATACATTGTGATACGACCCCAACTTTTATGCTTCGTATGCCGCGGGTAAAGCTACTCGAATTAGTTATCGCACTTTATACGACGCATGGACGTCCCGGTGACTCGAGGACGTAACTCAATGGGAGCCTTCATAACGTAGTCAGGTGCTACAGTGTGAATGGGCCTGAAGAGTGCAGGAGAGTCTTTCCTTTCCAGTAGCCCTTTCTCAAAGACGAGAGTATGTACAGCGAAGAAGGTCCATTAGGCCTACCTGCTCCACCTTGCACAGCCTATCCACACAGCCCTGGTAGGACTTCATACAGTCCTCAGCCAGGTGCAGCTGGGTGGAGTACTTGCTCAGTTCTTTCTGATACTGGGGCATCTTCTTGATCATGGTGGTCAGGTCCTTCAGGCTGGCCTTGTCCCCAGACGAGGTCATGCGCTTGCTCTCAATGAACTTCTTCAGCTGCTTTGTCACCGCCCTGCAACCCAAGCACACACATTTGTGGACACCATTCCTGAAGTCACAGGTGGCCCCACATCTGCCAGACAGTAACTGCTCAAAAAATTGCTAGGCAATTGCGTTGCATACGTGAAACGTTCTAGCATTACAAACGTTTATATCATTGTTTAGCAGCACATCTAGCCTGTTCAGCCAGATGACTACGTTCATGGCGCTCTTCGTTAGATAATCTAACGCGTGGCATGTGTACACTTAGAATTATAAATGTGATGGTCTTCCAGAACCTTCTAACCCACTCCTCCTTTCCCACCTTGCCACCTCGCCTACCTCTCCTCACGCCACCCCTGGTCACATGACCTCCCTGTTAACCGATCAGCGTTGAGCACCTGACTCCTCCTCTCCCACCCGTCAACTAATCAGTGTCGACCTCCGTGGCCACGCTTTTATCCAGGCTTCACTTTTGAACTTCATGAAAAGCCAAACATGTAGCCAAAGAATGTTTCACAATAATAAAACCTAGCTCGAAGATAACGAGTAAAATATGAGGGTTTTACATGCCAAACCAATGAAGGGTATCTGGCATGCCTCAGTGGAGGGCTGAGGGTTAATTTCAACCACCTGGGGACATTTTTATGTGCAACCGAAATTTCCGTTACCTGGCACCTTCTCCGCAATAAGCCTTCGCGAGACTGCGAGCACCTCGGCCGGTATTCGAACCAGCCACCTAGGGGTCTGTAGGTCAGCGCCCCGTCTCAGATTGGAGCCACCGAGGTAACGCTCAAAGAAACTGAGGCCGGACCAATAATACAAATATGTCTCAAAGGTTAGTTGAATGAATTACCCTGCGTTGCATGTTTTTCAACCTGGTCTAATTAACACCAGCGTGCAACTTTCAATCATGTTTCAATAAGTCGAGAGGAGAATAGGGCAACAGCAAGGAAGCTGTTAAAACTCATCATCTAAAGTGAAAAAAATAATCAAGGAAGGGACAAAACACAGAGAATGACTGCCTGCTTATAAGACCTATTTTGACAAGGGGAAATGCATGCACGATAAGAAAACTCTATCCACCATTCTATGACTTGAGGGCATTTCCGAAATATTCTTCGCAAGTGTCATCCATATTAAAGGGGCCCTGCAACAACTTTTTGACTGGTTTTTAATTTGCACCGATCCTGAGCGCACTGAACGTAATAAGTTAATAAAACTTTTCTTTTCTCAAATTTCGCTTTATTTTAAAAGTTATAGGCAAATTAATATTACAAAAACAAGCAAAAAATAACCTCTTTTATGACGTCGTAGGTCCTGGCTTGAGTGGCCGTAAACTAGAGGAGGGGTAGTAAGCTCATCGAGCACTCATGGCTGCCGCACTCCGTGTCGATGGCTCGAGAGGGCGCTACTAAAGCGCGTGTTGGATAGGCTGTATGAAGCAAGCGGCCACGCCGGCTGGCATTGCATTTGCTGCACGATTAAAGACTGATTCAGCATAGCACTTCATTGGCCACAAACGACAGCGAACACGGGGTAAATATCAATTCAGAACGGGAGCCACTTCGCGCTGCCATACCACCAAATGGCAAAATCGCCAGCCAAGCCCGAGCCGAAAGCCTTCGGAACGCTCGGAACCGATTGGATCCTCGAGCCGGTATACGACCGCAGCGCCGCCGTGTACATCCAGGACCTTTCTACGCTCGCCATTCGTCGGCACCTCATCCCACTAGCCCTTTCTAGTATGCGCCGTGTTTTCCGCCGCTTGGTGGCGGGTATGTCGACGGGTCATTTCTTGTTTCCATACTTTATAAACTGCATTTGTTTCTTTTCTGATCTAAAATACTGAACAAAAACTACTTTCATGCATAATTGAAACCGTTTGCGACACTTGAATTTGTATCTCGATTAAAAAAAAAAAAAGATTTTAGCGGTTCTGACCAGTAGTAAGCCCAGGACCAAAGACGTCACATATCACGCGCTTTCGGCAACGCGGGTTGGCCTCGTAGGTGAAGGAGGTTTCCGCGTCATCCGGTTAAAATATGACGGACTGATATTTAAATACTCTCTCCGTGCCCGCTGGATTGCCCGGGCCCCAAAATACGTGGAAACCGCAAAAAAGGTAGATGCTTAAATATGATTGCCGGGCCCCTTTAAGGTACCAACTTCTCTGCTGCAGAAACCTTTCTGATAGTCAACATCACATACCATCTGATACATTCCTTCGAGGGAGCCAACAACAAAAGGGAATCGCCACTTTTCATCCCCGCGAGTTGGTTTTGGTATAACCAAATGAAGTCCACTACTGTATTTTCACATGCCACGGTGCCGAGAAATTGGGCATGCCAGAGGTATTTGCTGTGACACAACACCATATTCCCTGAACTCAAAATCCACTATATATTAATATATTCAAACACGCCTAGTTGACAGTCGGGCAAAACAGACAGATTGAGAACACATACTAAGATGCGATGGCATATGCCTCAAACTTGACGAAATCCACTGCTCCACCCCCACATGCCCATGCGCCAACAAACTGAGTGAAACAAGCGGGTTGGAGATACGTATGGGGATGCGATGTCGTTCACTTTGAACTCAAAATCTGCTATGCGCAGCACAAGTTTGTATGCTTCTTTTGCAGGGGTTGTGGTGACATCCAAACGCTGAGCTCTGATTGGTTCTGACTGAAGTGGGTAGACCTCAGGGCAGCTTGCTTTGAGGTCTACCCACTATCCTTCAATCAAAGCCAATCAGAGCTCGGGATCGTTCCGACGTCACCGCAACTCCTGCGAAAAAAGCAGACGACCTGCTCTCCGCATATATTCGTACACTTTGACCTGACAACTGACAATGAATCGAGCAAAACAAAAGAGTCGGGAACAGCCACCGGGACACGACACCATTCACTTCGAACTCAAAACCGTCTACCACTACACAATCACGAGCTCCTAGGTGCCAATGAATTGCGCAAAGAGAGACAAGTCGGAGGCACTTGCTGGGACACGACGGCGATGTGCTGGTGGCGCAGCTCCACCCATAGGTCGTCCTTCTCATCGAGCAGAACCTCCTTCTCGCGGACGTCGTTGCCGCTGGTCGACTCAAACTTGTACACGTCATTCTCTATGGGCAGCAGGTCGTAGGCCATGGCCTGGAAGGTCAGCTCGTGGAGGAGCGGGGACACGCAGTCGAAACCTCGGTCAAGTATTATCAGCTGGGAGCGCATCTTCTCCGGGCCCTGGAGTTCGCCGAAAGGCGAAGGAAGGGACATGACGCCGGGGCTCATTATTGCAAAGGCTACAATCCCTCCACATTTTGTTTTTATGTTCAACTCTATCTGCCACCCAGCACATCAATTCACTACTTTAAGCAAATTCCTGTCCAAAAATGATTAATCATCAAATAAATAAATACTAGAATAAACCAATGTCATCTACAGGGTGCTTTGAGGTGATCTTGGGATCGAAACCACCCCTCGTGTTGCTGGTAAGCGAGATAAAAAAAGGCATATAAATAGAGTGACCATAACCTTCGGCGTAGAAAACGAGACGCTCGGGTTTTAAGGGGTGGAGACAAAAGAAATCTGTGCTACTATAGTAAGTTAAAGCTCAATAAGGTAGGGCGAGGGAACGGAAGATTGGAGGAAGAAGCACATGGAATGCTGGAGGGGGAGGGGGAAGCATCCTCCTCTCTCCAGCATCCTGTCTGCTTCCTCCTCCCTAGGCTTGCTTACCCTCGCCCTACCTTCTTGAGTTGCAAAGGACTCTAGTCATTTCAGCGTAGCTTTTGTCGCCAGTTTTGCACACAGTTTCATTGTTGCCAAGCAACATGTCAAATTCAGTACTAGTGCAATCCACTTCTAACGATAATGAGAAAATCTGAAAATTCAATCGTTATAACCAATCATAGTTGTATCTGGACCAAAAACTTGCATTTTTTAAATGTGTGCCTCGCATTTTTTGGAGCTCATAAACCCATCCTTTGTCACAATCCCACCATCAAAGCCACCTTAAGCTTTGGAAACCCACTGTCAAAATCTGCAAAATTGATCAAAGTTTGCAAGTGCATCTCACCTCGCCCATTGTCGGTTCATCTGCCTTGTACGCATCCAGTTTCTGGTAGATCAACTGAGTGAGTTCTACGTTGTGGTCGAAATCGCTGCATCAAATGAAAACAATTAAATACCTCGCATGACTTTGCTGAACTCGACTTAAAATGAAAGTCTAAATTCAAGGCAGCCTACCTTCGGTAGCGCAGGGAAGGGTATTCCCCGAGCGTGGCACAAAGCGTGGCAACCTGCTCCGCAATGCGTTCCAGGTTGGAAGCACGTTCGTTGATGCGATTTGGGTTGTAGTAGAACTGAAACGTCTCAGGTGTGTCCAGGGAAAATATCTATGCAAAAAGAGAACAAATAAACCAGTCAAAAGGTATTTTTAGAGAAGCAATAATTTTCATTTTTAATCATTTTTTCTGATTATTCCCGTTTTTCGAGTGTCTCGTTAATGAAAGCTCACCTTGACCTTCCGCTATTATCTTCACGTCGTAGGATCTCTCGCCTTTGTCTTCTTCACAAGGTATTTGATACGCCCATCTTTAAACAATCTCTCTTAAACCCCCCATCATACATCTCGGCTAGAATTGACCATCCTTGTAAGATCGCCCGCCCACAATGCTTCACCCTCGCACACCAGAAGGCGCTCTTACCATCTGCGATTGTAGACTGGAATGACCTCCCCGAGAACCTCATCGGCATCACCGACAGTGGAAGATTTCGGGACGCCATCACCAACTACTTCATGTAAACCCACTCCCCTCTGTAACGCCACTTGTGGCCCTGAGGGTATTATAAATAAATAAATAAAGAAATAAATAAATACCTTCATTAAGTTTCCCATGGCCTGACCCCTGATCATCTTTTTATCGCACTTTCGTTGTCCACGTTCCTTAACTGCAGTTGCCTTCTCAGATTTGTGCTGGCGATTGCCAACAGTGCTTTCCTTTGAGAGCCCCGTTACAAGCTGCAGTAACTTGTGGCAAGCTGCAACGTTAGGTCGGTAGTAGTCATATGCAAATAGTGGATTTTGTGTTTGAAGCGAATTCGAAGCGAAAAGTGATTTTGGCCATATATTTTCTAATCTACTATTGAATAGTTCTTCCAAGCCTTTCACTGCTGTTGCACCATGCTTAAACGAAGACCCAGCTAAACTCGTGAAGCTTGTTCCCAAGCTTCCACTTGTCCATTTATAAGCTAATTTTAACTTAACTAGTACTATATTTGTGGACTCTGACCTCAGAAAGTCAAATGCCTTGGGATGGCAAGTAGACGACAGATTTGACACAAAATGAAACCAATATAGAGATGCCCAGTTACTATACCTAATTGAGTGGACTTACAAACCTTGCTATATGCAAATATTTTTCTTCACTCTAAAATTTAAAAAAAAAAAAAAAAAATCCTGAATGATGCACGGAGGTTGTCAGGGCATCTCTGCCTAACATACACTCCAGCGTAACGGCCAGTTTAATTTTGAAAATTTTACTGCAATATAGACATCAACATTCACAAAGTTTCCATTTCTTTTTAAATATACCAGGCACGTGCGTGCACCATCGAGCTTTGGGAGTGTGCTTTTTTCCCAAGCATGTAATGGCGATATTCATACCTTTCCATGTGCTGATTGCGGCGGGTTACCCTGTTAAGTGCTCTTCTTACAGAGTACCGGTGCATTGCAGAGAAGCAACGCCTGCAAGGCTCGCTTCCGTGGGTGTTGCTTTTCTGCAGTGCACCCGTGCTCGGTAAGAAGCCAAGCACAAGTGCAGTTCATCTTCGAGATAAACTGCGATGTTCATCTCAAAGCAAATATTGATAGGTGTATTATTCTAAATTACTATTCAAACTTTCAAATATTTGCACAACACTAGTCATTAGAATTACCTCACACATTGTTTCTGAGTTGCAATGCTTACTTTTCTGCATCGTGTGCTTTTTCTTTCTTCTTTTTTATTATTATTGACTGTTCAGAGTATGCTACTGAAATATTTGGCAGAAAAATTACCTTCCAGTCCTTCACCTCAAAAGAATGCATTAGCATCAGATAATATTTAGGTGTTAGAGTAAGCTTAGCAATTTTGTTATGTGCTAGATCTCTTTCTCCCATGTGGTACCACCATGAATAACACTCGATTCATGGTAGCCCTACCTGGCTTTCGTAGGGCAGAAAAGCGATGTTGACTTCCTTCAGTGTCTTGATCACTTTGGCCATCGGTGACTTGCATATTTCGGTGAACAGCTCATCGGGACATTCTGCAAGCACGAAGGAAGAAGAGAGGGTGAGTAGAAATACCACCATCTTTTTTCGTGCGTGTCATTCGCGGGGCAAACTCACTTTCCGTGAAGAAGATATGCGCACACCGATACATGTGCCTAGTTGGTGTTTGGAAGTCTGCCATCAGCAAACGAATGGACTGCAGAAGACGAAACAAAAGATGCAGTATTGAAGCAACCACAATAAAAAGAAAGAAAAAAAAAAACAGTTTCGTATCAAACAATTACATAGGATGATTTTGATCCCGAGCCCCGCTGTAAAGACAGCCTGGAAAATCAGCATCTGCACGTAGCAAGCTCAAATATCCATCTCAGGCATATTAGTGTCCCATTTCCCCTCGATAAATGTGCAAGCATAGCTCTGTTCCTGCAAAAAAATTAGGATATCCTTAATAATTTTAACAATGGGCCCCAACACAAACAAATGAGTCGCATTCAGACTTGTGCTTACAACTGATATTAAGAGGGAGTGCTACAGGTCACTGAAAGCAGACGACAAAGGCGAGCACAGTGCTTGCAACAAATTTGCACAATTGCATTTGACCTCCTTTCTATAGTTCCAATTTTAATGTCACTGTGCAAGATTAGTTCTAGAGAAAAGTTAGATGACCCAACAGTCAAATTCAATTCGAACAATCAGCACCGTCATGGTGTATTACAATTGCCACATGTTGCATCAATTTACAGTACCAGCTCCAAACACGGCCTTCAGCACAACTCTGTTGTCTGTTGCCTGCATGGGCACTCGTCGTCAAAATTTTCACAGATGTAGTTCTCATTTTTTGCAGGAATGGAACTAAGCCTTGAAATTTCACAACGTAAAATGAACCACTAGAATACACCCTCAATGAAATCTTGAGCTCTCTGAGTGGAGACGTTGATATTTAGAGCTCATTTTAGATGGAGCCTCGAGATCAAAGTTGGGAAAAGCATATTTATAAGTGCCTACCTTTTCGGTCGGAGTGATGAGATAGACAGCCTCAATATTTGGCAAAGGTTCCCTTTTCTTGCTCAGGTCCTCCACAACTTAAAAACAAAACAAAAAACTAGTCTCAATCTATGCTCAGAAACCTAACAAGGCACCGTTCCACATTAACGGGCACTATAATTCCTTCACTAGAACAAGCAAAATGAATCCTTCTACCTCTCGGAATGCAAACGCAAGAGGAGAGAAGGGACACACAAAAACACGTCAGACGTGCTTTTGTGTGTCCCCTTGTCTCCTTTTCCGTTCGCATACCAAGATGTTTAACCAACATGCTCTCCTAATTTTACCTATGAATCGTTCTAGACGTTCTATGTCTTAGAGCTTCATACGCTACAGAATGCTCACTGCATTGGTATATTACTGGTCTTCAAACAAGCTTAAGCCTTGAAAACAGGAATTTATCTATGGTTGTAAAGAAGCGTAGCCAGTGTGTGAAGGTCAGCGACGTAAGGTCAGGGTTCGGGATGCTTCGACCTTTCTTGAAGGCTCCAAGGCACTTCGTGGCCTTTGATCGGCGAGAACTTACTTGTGATTCCTTCGGAGGCAAGTTCATGCATCTTGCAGCAAGCGGATATCATCCGCATTCCCAGCTGATCAACCACAAGAACTTTCCATTCTCCCTTCTTCTTGACAGTGCGTATAACATCGTTCGTTATTTCTGGAAACGAGGAACAAAATTAACCGTCACGATCGATGCAGGTAAATCGTTGGACGCGCATGGTACAGCAACGAAATGCTGTACCATGCGCTCAACAAAATGTATGGATTTGGAGCCGTTATATACATAGGGTAGAAACTATTTGAGACGCCAACTTTTATGACAGTAGATCATTGATGTAAACGCGGGTGCGAACCCAAGCCAAAGAAATAAACAAATAAACGAAGAACTACATTCTTTAGAAAACTCGAGAAGCGTAGTACAGTAATTCGTATTTTGTATCTACGAATGTAGGCGCAGGATCAGCGCGACCATTAACAATAAAAATTTCCGCATCCGAGGTAGCTGTACTGGCACGAAACGTATCCCGTGACTGGGTCCTCGTGATATGCAAAAGACAGTGAATGTTAAAACCTCGTGAATTGCGTTTTATTTCTCCTAAATTTCGTTTGGGTGCCTTCCTCGTCAGTGTAGCGGAAATAACAGGGGAGCTAGCCGGAACTGCGCTCACTACGGCCTGTGGGCGTCTGTCACAGCGCAACTTGTAAACAGGGCGTATGTCCACGATCGTGCCACTAGGAAAGTCTCCTTAAAATATTTCGCGTGATGCCGCGGAACTTGAGTCGTGGATGAACCATATGGCCGGAAAATTTTAGGTGAAGCTATGTACCCGTAAAGAAGAAATGCCTATTTATAGCATTACTTACTGGCGCCGACGACACCCTTGAGAGCCATCTTGTTGCCTTATTCGTATCGCCAATATTGCGTCATCCGCGTAGTGCGTCAAAGGGAGAGAGTGGTTGATCTCGACGAATCACGAGCCCGAACGCGTGAATTATTGTATTTTTTTATAAAAACATCTGAGACTTAAATATTTGGCCGTTTTATTTTTAATTATTACGCAATTTTCGAAACATAGGGCTTGTCTGGTTTAATGGTTTTTATCATTTTAATAGGATAGGTCTGATTATTGGTCGAAGGGCCCGAAGCGTGGGCGATCCCACCAAAAATGGTTACTAGCCAGTGTCAATTTGAAATCGTTTGTATGTTTATTTTTATATGTTTAATATTATATAGACAACAATAATTATAGCAAGTCATTTAAAATAATTGCTTAAAAAAGAACTGGCTTAGAGTGATCGCGAAAAACGGCAGCGCTACAAAATGTCCAGTGGTAGACTTTTGTACAAAGAAGTAAAAGGACGAAAAGTTATTGAACGTCACAACATACTGATATGCACTATCTATTCGATAGGCACCACGGAGTCCGTGTTGTGGTGTGGGCACAAGGATCTTGCTTGTGGGAACGCATGGTTGAGAATAAATAAAATTTTATAGCAAGCAGCGATGAATCTACTTCCAAAAACATCGTCAGAGTTCGCCAGTGAGAAGTACTGGAACGAGTTCTTCCAGAAAAGAGGGAAAGCTGCGTTTGAGTGGTGAGTTTCTAGCTCGGCAAAAAAAAGGCTGAAATGAGCACCGTGTGCTTTGGCAACTTGAGGCATGCCCCGTGCTTCACTGCACCCATTCGAGAAGCGAAAGGAATACAGCTATCTAGCAGTGATCATGCCCTGCCTTTCTCAAAGACACTATAATTAAATTCCTCGTGCAAACAAAAGCCAGCTACCACATTAAAACAACCAATCATTGAACAAGACGACTTGTGACTGTCTTTCTTAATTATCACCTTATCCCACACTTTTTTTTTCCAGGTATGGAGAGTATTGGCAGCTTTGTGGGACTCTCTACAAATACCTCAAGAAAAGTGACAAGTTGCTTGTAGTAGGCTGTGGGAACTCCAGCCTGAGTGCGGACCTTTACGACAGTGGCTACACCAGCAATGTCAGCATAGACATCAGCAAAGTCGTGATACAGCAAATGATTGAGAAGTATGGTGAGACCAGACCGCACATGCAATTCCATCAGATGGACGCATCTAAGGTCAGTGTGCCACCACCTGCCTCGAATCTATCCATCAACATGCAAGCAGGTTTATAATGACCGCTACTTTTAGATGGAGTATGCGGATGAAGAGTTCAGCGTCGTCGTGGACAAGGGAACGGTAGACGCTCTCACCCCAAACAAGGATGCCGACACCGTTTTCAAACTCTCCGGTGTCTTCGGAGAAATATCCAGGGTTCTTCGTGTCGGCGGCAGATTCATCTGTATATCCCTCCTGCAGAGACATGTCCTCGAAACTCTCCTGGAATGGTTTTCGGCGGAGTAAGTTTTGACAGCGGGCAACTAGTGAACTAGTGAAGTTAGTCCAGGTCTCCATTTGCTCTGAAAGGAATATTCTCAAAGTATAACCCCTCTCTTCTAAAGACAACATTATTATTCGGGCGACGTCTCAAAACATAGTGTCTAACTGAGACGTTGTGTCTTGTCCTTCTTTTAGCCTCCTTCTCAGGTTGGAGTATGCCTTTCCTTTTTCATCGAGCCTGTTTCTGCATCTTGTTTGTTGCATTTTATATTCATGTTTGTTTATTAACGTTTTAGCATTACCACCTACATGACAGCAAAAAGCTGCCGCCATCCGTCTGCGGACAAGACAGTAGAAAGGGAAGCGCGTCGTGCAGAGAGAAGGAGCGTAGTGAAGAACATAAGTGGGAGGGAGGCAAGGTCACAAGGCGGAAGCCAATGCGCGCATGGTGAGGTGGGAGGAAGGCGACGTCACGGGGGTGGAAGCCAATGCTTGCGTGGGAAACCAGTGAGCAGCGTCGGGCAGCAGATGCCGCTGCTCAGCATGCAAGGTGGGCAAACGAGACAGGAGCTAAAGCAGCGCCTAGCTCAGCTAGCCGAAATCCACAGGTCTGTGTGCAACGAAGCGGGTTCAGCGAGCCCACTTCGCTGGAAAATATTGAAAGAAAATACATTGGCATAGATCCTTAGGGAATGCCTTAGCATGACCCTTGGGGAAACGCCACAGACGTCCCCCTTTGCGAAACGCTAACACTGACCCCGTAACGAAGCCTAAAAGAGGCGGCAATGAATAGAGGAAGCAAAACAGAAGGTCGAAACAGAAAAGTGAAGGGGTAAGCATTAGCGTTTCCCAAAGGGGGACATGTGTGGCGTTTCCCAAGGGTCATGCTAATGCATTCCCCAAGGATCCATCAATGGATTGTCCTTTTTTATTTATTTGCCTGTCCAGCCACAGTTTAAGGTTTTGTTTCCATAGATTGGTATCTAAAAAGCCCACCACCACCCCCTCCCCCCCAAAAAAAAATCATGACATTGTAAATAAGAAAGGGGAGAAGAAAAAAAAACAATGAATTGTGAAGTGCCTAAATGCTTGCTCTGTCCACGGTGTGTTTGTGAGCACTGCATCACACATTTCTTTTCTCTTCAGCACCACATGGACTTGGGTGGTGAGGATACATCGTTGCATCGAAGCAGAAAAGATGGACGATCCCGAAACAACGGGACTGGTGCTTCCCGTCTTCATAGTGGTCTTTACAAAACTCAAGAGGCTTCCAGGACTTGAAACAGTATGTAAGTCACGCTGTCATTTGGCAGTGTGTGTCTTGGGCAATTCATCCTTCCTCAATCTAACCATCAACTACCGTTCTAAGATGTGACTATACATCTTAGAATGCCTCTGAGGATAGTAGCCTCCCTAAACACCGGGGGTTCTGGTTTACTAACATCTTTACAATTTTAGAGCATGCTACTCCATCGTTCTGCCTCGGTAAAAAGCATGTCCTTGAGTGGTGCTCTAGCTGCCCTAAACCGAATGTGCTCTGAGTCACGAGCTTGGACATGAAGTTGTGGACTGAACAGGCGGGCAAACTAGAGAAAATCTTGTTGGCGTGTGCTCCAAATGCAGGAAAGAAGACGTGGCTTTTAGGTTGTCACTCTTGCTACATGACTGTTTGTGCAAGAGGCATACTGTACTATGAAGACCACATATCCAACTTTAGTTTCCTTAGTTGTAAATTTTGCTACGGTAAAATTAAAGGCAAAGGCGAACTAACCACTCTAATGAAAAGGTGAGCCAATAATGGAAGCGAAAAGGCAGACTGCAACCATGGTGTTGAGCACCCAGAAAAAACGGGGGAAAATGTCACTCTTTCCTAAGAAAAACACTGACACCCCCTCTAAATTTTTTTTTTTTTTGTCAGGCGATGTAGAGAAACGAAATTTCTGCACTTATTTCTTTGTTCTATACGTGTTCAAGGGAGAATTACCACATCGGACACTCTTTCTGAAGAAGATGCAAAAAGGAATTTTAAAACTAATTAAAGGATTAGCAAATGACACCAGGCGGATGTCGCTAAAGCCTTGTTTGTAATATCCGTCTAGGAACATTGACAGGTAGTGACGATGTCTGTCTTGCCAAGAACTATGACCTCACTGGTGCCCCATGCGTGCAAGCATGTGCAGCATGCACGTGAACGTAGTTTTGGCAAGCTTGTAATTGCACGCACTTGCCAGCATGAGCAGAGACATGTCAGCGGCCATATGCTCTGCTTGCTGTCGTCTTGTCAATGTCAGCCTTGCAGCAACTTTGCTCTTCCCAAGACAGGCTACGTCACGTTTGTGCCGGATGTCATGTGCTTTCCACTGGCTGCTCTCCGAGCGCTTGCCAGAGTAGGCCGTTTATAACGAAAAATACAGCCATCAGGCTCAAAATACAAGCGTGCGATTATCATTTACGAATATTGCGGATCTTGTTCAGCCTATTTCTGAACATGCTGGGTATATTGCAGATTCATTGAAGTATCCCCTTAGAATGGTGTCAGGAGGCTACCCAATCAATATTTTGCTGCAGTCACGTATACTTTTCATAAAGTAAAACTTCAACTGCTTGAAACCGAAACAGGAGCACGGAAGCTCATGGCCGGAAATCACTTAGCTACACCTGACTGCCTTTTCTCTTTTTTTTTCCTCTGCTTTTTCATTGTGTGAAGCAGATAAGTTGCGTGCACCGTTTATCATGCGATTGTTTCGCACTTATATCTCTTCCACCCGAGGTTTTGCGCTTGAAGATGGATTTGCCAGTACCACGAACGACAGTTCCGAAGCAGCGACTTAACGTCCATAGCAGTGTGCCATCGCGTCTTCCAACCCGCGGTACATCACCATATTGAAAATGACATGTACATGTACTCCCCGTAATCTGTGCAACATCCTTTTTTTTTTTTATGTATTTGCAGTTTTTTGGGGGCTACAAAAATGGGGTTCATATCCTTTTCTATTTTTAATATTGAACATGTGCCTTAGGTGACCCACGACTTTGAGTATATTTGGTACACATAGTTTGAGCACCACATACCCATAGAAGAGAGAGTGAGTATGACTGAAACAGGCTGACGTTGGGGCAGAAAGAAAATGAATTCGAACCGCAATTTGTGTTCTGGGTAGTTGGGCTATTATAGGTCATGTTCAAATAAAAACCTTGACGAGCGTAAATACTCTGTCAGTGTTGCTTTGAGATTTCCCCTCGCACTGACCGTGCTGGAAATGGGCACGAATTTCAGCATTACTTTGAAAGTGCTTTTACGGCTACTGCGTACATCACATTGAGAAATAATTTTAATAGGTATTCGGGATACTGGACGACAAATGAAAATGACCAAAGTGTTCTTTTCTCACATGCAGAAGCAACTCAGTTTTCCTTGATGACAAACAATCTTTCTGCATCTTGTTACATTTTTGACACACTCCTTAACTGTTTGTTCACAGGTTATGGAGCTTGCATTTGATCCCGATTCCAAACCCGTAAGGGTACCTGACCTCGAGACTGTTTACGAAGAAGTCTCATCGATTCAGAAGTATGCATTTTTGAGGTACCACATCGCCAAGAGGTATGTGATATTGTTTTGCATTCAGTTTTTGCCCCTTGTGAGTCTAGCCTCAGTTCTCCAGATAAGCTGTGGTTGCAGTAATCACAAGAAAAAGAAGACCGACGGTACACATATTTTCCAGACGTGTAAAGGCTGCGACACGTTTGGCCCAAACACAGATATGCCCCATTTTCCCACCTTTCTTGCGCGATCAAATGCCAGCCATTGAAAATAGGAGTATATTGGAATGTGCTCCTGCAGTGCAAACTTGGGCCGTAAAGTTTGGTATTTCACATTACTCTGTATGACTGAATAGAGGTAAAGCATCCGTGTCATTCTGAACTAATTTTTTCACATGGTGCCCTGTACAGCTTTTTGGTAGCACCGTGAAAAGAGAAGATGGATACAACAGAAACCTCCGGTGTCGGATAGACCCTTTAAAACTGCTTGGTTTCAATTTTGAGATCCCTCCAAGAAAAGAGACATTACCCTTGCAGTGCCACTACTGAAGTCTTGTTCACACACTTGCATTTGCTTACAACTGAGTTCTTGTGAACTCATGCGACGAAAGGACACGCTGGCTCCATCTATGAGGTAGCCCTGGAACTGCATTTCCCTAGAGTGAAGGTTTTTGCAGTAGCTTGCAATATTAAATGTGTGTGCTGTTTGTGAACAATGGTCATTTACAACATTGTCAAAAGTGTTTCAAGCCAAAAATAAAAAAGAGGGATGCGCGAAAAAAGAAAAACAAAATATACTGGAACTGCGAGTGTTTCACAGCTGTTCGATAGTTGGTGCCGCACATTTTGTTGTTGTAAGAGATCATAAGAGTTTTAAAACACTTGGTGGGAGGTTGTCGCAAGTGTGTAAACGAGTCTTTAGGACCTCAATAGCTTTAACCAGCGAAATATGCCCTTTTAAGGTCATTGATACAGATGTGATGCCGTTTTTATTTTGTCTACTTACAGAAAACAAGCCAACTAAATTTTATTTAAAGTATTAAATACATTGGTTAAGGACAAAAAAGAGACTAGGCACTGACTTCCACTTACTTGAACCTAGATTATGTGTTACTGCCCTGTCATTAAATTTAGTTTGGGGCAGTAAAGCTAT